CATTCCAAAAAGGGACAGTTCTAGCAAGCCAAAAAACTATGACCTATGTCATAAATGTGGCAAGCCAGGACACTTCATCAAGGACTGTCCCCTCCTAAAGCAAGATCAATTAGAGCACAACACAGACAAAGCAGCCAAGAGGAACCCGGTTCCTAATAAATGCTTCAAGAGAAAGAATGTCGATGACAATATTATGAAGTAAACTCTTGCTGCATGGGAAGACTCCTCCAGCGAATCTGAAGAAGATAATGATCATAGTGACAGTTCAATGATGGCAGTAGAAAGTGAAGCAACTGAGTATGACTCTATTTTTGCCTTGATGGCTTAGTTTGATGATGATGAAGATGACGACGACGATGATGAGGTAAATTTTCTGGATGTTCAGAGAAATCTGAAATCTTATTCTCCTAAAAAACTCATGTCTTTGGAAAATGTTTTAATAGATGCATACCACAGTCTTATAAATGATAAAAATGCTCTAATTGTGGAATTAGGAGAAGCAGAACAATCAAGAGATGATCTAGTGGTTGTTGTGGTTGATTTAAAAGAGACTATTGAGTGTGCTAAGAAAGAGAAAGAAGTTTTAATTGAAAAATTTGCTAACTTAGAACTTGAGAGAGATGGTCTAGTAGTAGTGGTGGTTAATTTGAAGGAAACCATTGAGAGTGTTGAAAAAGAAAAAGATGTCTTGACCAAAAGAGCTGCTAACACTGAGCTTGAGAGAGATAACCTACTAGCATTAGTAGTTGATCTGAATGACACAATTAAGGAACTAAAATGAGAGGGTTGGCATGAGACTCTTCACAAAGGTAAGGAAGTTGCTAATGAAACACATCAGCTTGAAGATGAGATGAAGACAGTGAAGTCTAGACTGTGTATTGAACTTGAAAAGACCAAACAACTTCAGGAAGAACTAGGAAGAGTCAAGAGTGATCTTGAAAAATCACTCAAATGGACCTGGTCCTCTAATGCTATCACTGCCATATACATAAACAATGAGGGAAACAAGCAGGGAATTGGGTTTCAAAGCAAAAAGACTCCCTACAACCCTCATATCAAGTATGTTACTATACCCGATAATTGGCTTTGTACTCAGTGTGGTAACAATGGGCACCTTAAGGAAAACTGCAAGGCTAGGGTTCAGTCTCAACAAAAAAACAAAGTTTTTGCTAAGAAAGTAACTACTACTAGAGCACCTGGTCCCTCATATAGAAAACGCATGATGCCTGCCTGGACTAAAAGAACTCTCATTCACCCTTTTTCTCACTACAAGGGACCCAAATTTGTTTGGGTTCCTAAATCGAACCCTTGATTTCCTTGTGCAGGGAGCAGTGAATGGGAGCAGCCAACAATGGTACATGGATAGTGGCTGCTCAAAGCACATGACTGGAAACAAAATCGATTTCCTTTCACTGAAGGCCTTGCAAGGAGGGAGTGTATCCTTTGGAAATGACAAAAAGGATACATTCTGGGAGTTGGAAGGATTGTCAAGTCACACTCTGTTGAGCGTCTCTCAGATATGTGACAAGGGAAAAAAGGTGGAATTTATGTCATAAATATGCACAGTCACAAATCTTGTGACTGGTGAAGTGGTGTTAGTGGCTAAGAAATACATTAACATCTATGTTGCTGATTTTGAGTCCCTGTAGAGTGGTGCTCTCAGCTGTCTAAGAGTTGTTGATGATGATGCCGAATTATGGCACAGAAGGCTGGGGCATGCAAGCTTTTCACTACTGAACAAACTAGTCCAGAAGGACCTAGTTCGTGGTCTGCCCAAGTCAAGCTTCAAGGAACACAAGGTGTGTGATGCGTGTGCAAAAGGAAAACATGTCAGATCCTTATTCAAGCCTAAAAAGGAAGTTAGCACCTCAAGGCCACTTGATCTTCTTCATATGGATCTATATGGACCTGTGAGGGTGCCAAGCAGAGGAGGAAAAAGATATATCTTTGTGATAGTGGATGGCTACTCCAGATTCACTTGGACCCTGTTTCTCAGAACCAAGGATGAAACCTTCCAAGTATTGTTGCTTTTGTCAAGAAGATCCAAGTGAAGATGGGAAGTAATGTAGCATGTATCAGATCTGACCATGGGATAGAATTTGATAATGCCAAATTCGATGAATTCTGTGTTGAAAATGACATTACTCATAATTTCTCAGCTCCAAGAACACCACAACAAAGTGGTGTTATAGAGAGGAAGAACATGACTCTTGAAGATATGGAAAGGACAATGCTAATTGACAGTGGCATTGAAAAACATTTCTGGGCAGAAGCAGTCAACACTGCATGCTACTTGATAAACAGGTGCATGATCAGGTCCCTTCTAAACAAAATACCTTATGAGTTGCTGAATGGAAGAAAGCCCAAGCTGACACATTTGAGGATATTCGGCTGCAAATGTTTTGTTCTCAATAATGGCAAGGAAGCGCTTGGAAAATTTGATGCCAAAAGTGATGAAGGAATCTTTCTGGGATACTCGTCCCAAAGCAAAGCTTACAAAGTATACAACAAAAGAACTCAATGTGTTGAAGAGAGTATACATGTGATCTTTGATGAATCTCACCTCTCCCGTGAGAAGGACAAACATGATGATCAAGATGGAGAACCTTTATCTGTTCCAGGTGAAGTCATTGACATGGCAAATAGAAAGGAAGACATGATGAGTCATGTCAAGGAATCCAGTGAAGATGATGCAACTACATCTCCATCCATTGGAGAAGAACATGGTCCCACAATCACAACAACTGAAGCTGAAAATAGAGTTGTCGATGCAGTCCAAGGTACTCCACTTGCAAAAATAAGAAAAGGCCAAGAACCTCTGTCAGACATACCTAGGTCTTCTACCAATGAGGCTCAGGTACCAAATTGGAAGCACAAAAGTTCACACCCTCTTGACAACATAATCACTCCTCTTGACTCAAGAATTCAAACTAGGTCAAAAGCTAGAAACTCACTTGCCTTCTTAGCCATTATTTCTCAAATATAGCCCAAAAATATCAAAGAAGCATTGAAAGATACAGACTGGATTACAACCATGCAAGATGAGCTGCATCAATTTGAAAGGAACAAGGTATGGCACTTGGTTCCTCGACCTGCAGATCGAACTATTATAGGAACCAGGCGGGTATTTAGGAACAAACTCGATGAGTTTGGAAATACAACAAGAAACAAGGCAAGGCTTGTAGTTCAAGGCTACAATCAGGAAGAAGGGATTGACTATGATGAAACTTTTGCTCTAGTTGCTCGAATGGAAGCTATCATAATACTTATTGCCTTTGCATCTCATATGGAGTTCACATTGTTCCAAATGGATATCAAAAGTGCATTTCTGAATGGCTTCCTAAAAGAAGAAGTTTATGTCAACTAGCCACCTGGATTTGAGAATCACAAGCATCCTGAGCATGTGTTCAAACTGGACAAGGCACTGTATGGGCTAAAGCATGCTCCCCGGGCTTGGTATGAAAGGTTGTCAAAATTTCTTCTAGAAAATGGCTTTACAAGAGTGAAAATTGACAACACTTTTTTTCTGAAGAAACGAGGGAGGAACTTGCTCATTGTGCAAGTATATGTTGATGATATCATCTTTGGAGCCATAATCGACTCTCTGTGTGAAGAATTTGCAAAACTCATGGGGAGTGAGTTTGAGGTGAGAATGATGGGAGAATTAATTTTCTTCCTGGGACTTCAGGTGAAGCAATCTCAAAAGGGAACATTGATAAGTCAGCAGAAGTACATCAAAGAGCTGCTGAAAAGATTCGACATGGAAGCATCAAAAGTTATTGACACTCTTATTGCCACAGCCACTTGTCTAGACATGGATGAACCTGGTTCCCCTGTAAATCAGACCATGTATAGAGGCATTATAGGGTCACTCTTGTATCTCACTGCAAGCAGACCAGACATTGTGTTCAGCGTGGGTCTCTGTGCAAGATTTGAATCTAATCCAAAGGAATCTCATCTGAAGGCCGCCGAAAGAATATTGAGATATCTCAAAGGAACGCATGACCTGGTTCTCTACTATCCCTCAGGAGACAACTTTGATCTTGTTGGGTATGCTGATGCTGATTATGCATGATATCTGGTGGACAGGAAAAGCACGTCTGGAATGGCATATTTTCTGGGTTCATGTCTAATCTCATGGGGTACAAAGAAGCAAAACTCGATGGCACTCTCAACTGTAGAAATGGAATATGTAGCAACTGCTTCTTGCTGTGCTCAATTGTTGTGGATCAAACATCAGTTGGAAGACTTTGGAGTGTTCTATGACGGTGTGTCCCTCATGTGTGACAATACAAGTGCACTCAACATGGCCAAAAATCTAGTCCAACATAAGAGAACCAAGCACATTGATGTGCGTCACCACTTCCTCAGAGACAATGTTGAAAAGGGGCTCATATGTATGAAATTCTGCAGCACAGAAGATCAGATTGCAGACATATTCACCAAAGCCTTGAGCTGAGAACATTTTGAAAGAAATCGCCTGGCACTGGGGTTGATAAAACCCAACTGAGAACCTGGTCCCTCAATGATTGACTACGAAAGAAATGTACAACTAAAATTAGCTAAAAAGTGTTTTTTGGCAAAGTCTAACTCATCTCTATACCGTTACAGTTAGACACGCATAATGATTACAGAGCAGTTGATGCAGTGCATGCTGGTAAAAAGGGTAAAACTTACACTTGCAAGATCCGTCAGGGAACCTGGTTCTCCTGACACAGGTTAGTAGTTTCTCTATTCTCTCATGCACAATTTTGAATAGATAAAACAGTGCCACATCATCAATATGTCAGTTTCTTTTCTTTGCATATTTTGAACCCAAACGTCTCACCCGTTGGTAAGCGACCCGACTCCCAAAACTGTCGCCTTTTCTTAACCGGTCCCTCATCTATCTTAAATACATCCATCACTGTCACACCTCCTCACATCAAACTTCAAAATTTTCCTTCTTCTTTCTCTCTTCAAACTACCAATCCCTCCTCTTCAACTGATTACTTCTCACCATGACTGAAAATCAAGAAACCTCGGGTGTTCCAAGTAACACCCCCATTGAGTCCCCACCAGTTAAAACACCAATGTTAAACTCCTTACTCAACACCACAACTAACCGAAACCCTAGGACAGAGTCACCACCACACTCAGTCCCCTCTCCTACCCAATCGAGTTCTAGTTCTCATCGGAACCGCAAAACCTCGACTCCTAAAAGGTTTGTGGCTACGAGCTCTCCCGCTGCCTCGCCGGAAAAACTGGGTGAAAAGGGTACAGTTGACGAAGAGGAAAATCAGGAAATCTCCAGTCTTCCTATGGAAGAAGGCTCAAATACAGACCAAACTACTGGTCCTGAGAATGCTGACTCAACAAAGACAGTTCCTATTCTTGAGTCCACAGGTTACACTTCTCATTCTCCTGCATTTTCCATGGAGTTACAAGAGAAAAAAGCAATAGAAAATATACTATCTATAGCGGCTGAAGGGGTTATTATCGAAGGAGGTAAGGTTGGGTCTAAGCCTCAGGGGGAAGATCCTAAGATCTTGGTAGAAGGTAGAGAGCTTGTGCCTGTTAAACAATCGGCACAGGACAATACTACTGGGGTACCTAATGAAGAACCTTATCCCTCATCGGAGGATACAACTCAGGGGTCCTCTCAAGAGCCCCAGGTCAGTATTGACCCTGCTCCATCTCCTTATTTTAATGTTGAGCCTCTGTCTGTGGTGGTGCCTAAGATGAGATCTGTATCTGGTGAAGAGAATGGGGATAGTGAAGAAGATTTTGATTATATAGCTATTGCTAGCTTTATCCAGGCTAGGGGTAGACCAGTTGCTACTCTAGAGCCAACTCCTAAGCTACCCACTATAAGGTTGCAAAATAAGGAGGCACTTGAGTCCGCTCTTAATAAAAGTCAAGTCAGTCAAAGGAGGAGGAAATTGGTGAAAGATGGGAAGGCTGCACATGAGAAGGTAGTGCCTGTTGTCACTATGGATGATGAAGTGGACGAGGAACCTGGTTCCTTGACTCACAAGTGCTCACAGAAGCACTCTCTCTCCAAGTCTAAAAAGAAATCTTCTGTGAGTATTGAGAGTCCACACAAGAGTGATGAAGTTATCTCCAGTGAAAATTTGGTGGAAGAATCTGGTAACAAGATAGTAGAAAAAGGTGGTGCAAAATTTGGTAACAAGGTGATGGAAGATTTTGGTGAAATTGTGTCCGAGAAAACAGTGTCTGCAAAGTCCGCTGAGAAGGGAAAAACTGCTCGCAAGTCTGTGAAAAGGAAAGTTGATGTCGAAGAGGAACCTGGTTCCTCCAAGAAGGCCAAAGTTGATGAATCCCAGAGTGCTAGGAAATATAAATTGAGAAATCAGAAGGTACTATGGGGCCGCATATTTGCCCCTGACATTTTGGAGCTGGCCGGAATGCGGCAATTGGTTGAAATCTGTGAATTCCAACAATGAACACACTTGTTTACAAGTAATGCTCCAAAAGTGTATGAGGAGGAAGTACGGAGCTTCTATTCCGACTTCTTCAAAGTTGAGGATGATCACATCTGCGTACTAGTGAATGAGGTTAATATTGTGATGGACTCTGCTTTGTTGGGGTCGATTCTGGGTATGCCTACTGAAGGGTTGTCATCAATCCAAGGATCATACTCTTCCAATTTCAGAAATGCTATTATTAAGGACAAGGAAATCCAGCAGGGGGAGTGGGTGCACAAGAAGGCTCTCCTTCCAGTGTACCAATTGTTGTTTGAGATGGTGAACGAAGTGTTGCTTACCCGTGCTGAGAGAAGATCCATTACCTCTAGAGTTGACCTAGTTCTCATGGAAGTGCTGGATGGATTCACTACCGTTAACCTGCCTGGGATTATGATTGAACACATGCAAAAAGTGGCAGAGTTCAAAGATGGTAACCATAGGCTGCCTTATGGGTTCCTTCCCACCAAGATTTTTGAGTTCTTCAAGTCTCCCCTGGGGCAAGCTAAAGTGAGCACGAGGAAGCAAACTTTCTCCAAGACCACTCTTGAAGAATGTGAGTGCATTGATAAGGTTGGAGGAGTTGGAAGCACTTATACCATTTCTCAGTTGATCAACGCTCAGAACAGTGCTACGGAGGAGATCAGGAAGTTAAAGGCAAAGAATGCTATTATTGAGGGTCAGCTCAGTCAGCTTCAGGAGGCACCTGGTTCCAGTAGTTCTCAAAGCTCAGAGGTTGCCCGTCTGACTAAGGAGAATGCTGAGCTCAAGAAACAAGTGGAGGACCTGATAGAAAGACTGCTCAATGAGAAAATGTCGACGAATGCTCGAATGGATCTAGTCCTCAAAACCCTTACCCCCTCCTCTAAGCCCTCTTCTTCCAGTGCTCCCTAAACAGTGTCCCTTATAGTGTTAAGTTTTAAGTATTCGTTTTTATGACTTTTCTGATGATGTTTTGTGGTTGGTACTTGTTTTTTTTATTTTGAATTGTGGATGGTTGCTGGAACCATTGAAACTGCTCCTGTCGTAAAATCCAAACTGTTTAAAGAAAGCTTTTCCCTTTTTGCTGTGTATACATTGCTCTTATGCCTCTGTCTTCCATTATCTTTGTGTGCACACATTTGGAATGAGTTAACCACGCTGGACTTCTTTTTTGCTTTTACTAGGTTTTCTTCTTTTTATGATGCCAAAAGGGGGAAGAATATACATAATTGAAGAAATGATGTGCATTGATTGGGGGGAACACAGATTCAGTGGGAATTCAAGGTTAAGCATTGCCATTTCTGGTTCATTATGGTTCTTCGTGGGCATTTCAATTATAAGTTTGTCATCATCAAAAATGGAGAAATTGATAGGTTATAAGTACCTTGTCTTATGTTTTGATGATCTAACAAACTTAATGTCAAGAACCAGATAAAGAACCTGATACACATTCTCAAGCATGTGGAAATACCCAGACTTAAGCTTGAGAGGTTCGTCAGTCTTTCAAAAGATAAAGAATCAACAAGGGGAATAGATGGATATCAGTCCCCTTGGTGATCGTACCAGTCAACCCTCCAACAGCTGGAAAGTGGCTGCCTGCACACGCAACAGTTCATCACAGTGTAGCAGTCAACCCAATTGGGAAGGATCTTGTCCCCCAAGTTGCTTACATCATTCAAGTGATGTCATCAATGTTATATTAACATTAAACCAAATACAAAACATCACTTGAACACTTAGAGAATTTACTCAAGCACTATAACAGTGATTGATCATCCAGAAAATGATTCTCAAGTGCATCAAGAATAAAGAACAACATTGCTACAGACCAGTTCTCCATATCAAGTTAGTTTTGCCTTTGTCAAAATTCTTACTTGTAATTCCTACTTAGCTTACTTAGAAGCATTGTGTAGGAAACTCTTTGTAAATCATAAACCCTTGCGTTTGTGTCTTGGCTAGAGTTAGTCGAGTTGTAAAGTCTTTGTAATAGAGGTATTACAAAGTGGCTTGTAATAGGATTGTTACAAGTTAGTGAGGGATTAAGAAGTTAATTCCTAGGCTACAATAAGTTGTAATCTAAAAGTTTGCTCAGTAGTGAAATTGAAATCCTACAAGAGTAGGTCGTGGTTTTTAATCTCGTGAGCTGGGAATTTTCCACGTAAAAACTCTCAGTGTCATTTACTTACTGATGTGTGTGTGTAATCTGTGAAAACTAATAGACAACCTGGTTCTCTATATATTTTGGTGGACCCTCGAATTCTATCAACATACATACATAAGATATACACGAAACCCTACACCCGACAACTCCGAAGGACGTGGAGCTTACCGATCAGGCTGAACTCGAAAAACACCTACAGAGGAGGTCTACTCGTTTGTCTATCTAAACCTACATGCATGAAATGTAGCATCCCCAGAGAAGGGATGTCAATACAAAATAATGTACCGAGTATGTAAGGCAATAACATAACTGAAAGCTGAAACTGAACTGATAATATAATAATTGAAAGTAACTGGGAGTCAAAGATGATCTGGAGATATACTTACCTACTGATACTAACTCAACTCCTTCAATATAGCAAGTAAAATAAATGGCCGACCCTATAAGGCTCTGTACATGTAATTGCTCGGCTGTGGTAGGTTCGCTCATAGGCACTTGGCCATACTAGGCTCTGTATCTCGGCCATCATGGGCTCGCTCATAGGCGTTCGGCCACAGTAGGCTCAGTATATAACTTACCATCTGATCAGAGGTTGCCCAATAGGGGCCTGCCCACCGATTATAGATCGATGGTGGTGAAAATATTGTAATACTGTATATATATAGATCATCTGCTCTCTTGAATGGAAGAAGACAATACTCAATTGAATATAAATTCCCGATAAGGGAGAATACTGTAACTTATGAGACTAGGATACTGTATATAAATTCGGGAGTATGAACTTCTCTTTATGCCTCGTTATCAAACACATGTAGTTACGAGATCATGCCAAAATGAAGGAAGGTCTTAGCCTTAACATACCTTATCACAATCTTTCCAATCACCAAGTGGAACTCGCTTCTTCTCACCTTAATCTACAATAACGATAATAATACTATCATTAAGTTACGAAAGGTACAACTATCGCACAACGAACGACAAGCTTATTTTGTATTAAAACGGGCAGCATCTCCCCTATAATCCTTAGTTCCTCCAAATTCAAGATAACACCAACAACACAAGAACTCAACAATAAAAACATCTATACATTATTTTCCAACCTTATATACACCACCAAATACTACAAAATAGCCCAACACACCCCAATCTCTTTATACACAAAACGACCACCGTAGTTGTGTCAAACAACCCGAAAATATTACAACGAATGACCAGACCACCACCATGCATTTATGTGGTGTTTCTCCACACAATTCCTCATCCAAAACTCCACAAAATAGTAGTAAAATATGCATCCCAATAGCAACACAAAACAGTCCACTACAAATGAATAACTCGAACTCACGACTTCCGATCCCCGTCCCGTGAGTTTTTTCAAATATAGAACGAATTACCATGCATTTACAGTAGATAAAAATGGATGAAATAGAGCAGTAAAGTTACCTTATTTGTTGGATAACTCTGCTCCTATCTTGGTTCTTCAAATTCTAGGTTTTACCTCCAATTAGAAAATCAATCGGGGTTTGTGGGCAATTTTTGGGAGGATTTTTGCAGAGCTTATGTCTGATTATTATACGCTATTATCAATCTAATATATGAAGGATATAGGCCTTCGAACTGGCCCATTTTTGGATGACCCGAACTGGCCCATTTTTGGACTCTCATTTAAGCAAGTAGGTGACAGTCTGCGCAGTCTCGCAAAAATGCCCATATCTCTCTACTCCGACATTGTATTGACAAACGGTTTAATACATTAGAAAATAGACTCATAGATATTCAATTTTATCGGTGGAACACCCCATAACTCTAAGTATATTGGTAGCAACTCGCATTTACATTTGACCTAAAGTTTCAGTAAAACTTATGAACGTAACTTGTGATGACTTTCATCGACTTTTGTTCCACCACTCGCTTGATTTCAAAACATAACACAGAACTATCATACGACTAACATAACTCATAACATAACCTTCTTATCATGTCAAGCACCCTAGTATCACCCAAAAAGTATATGTTATAACATTTCCAACTTGTCGACTTTCGACGAAACATTATTTTCTTCAATTCCTTTAGCTTCTGAACCTTCCAACCCTCTTTGTACTTGTTGTTCATGATATTCAATATTTGTAACCTCCAAGGTAACATGATTAACTTACTTTATATATTTTCAAAGATGATCTCATTTTTGGTCCTACATTAGTTTGCTCACGAGTCACGACGCACTTTTATGTACGAAAATATAGGGTGTAACATCATTCTCTCCTTGGGAACATTCGTCCTCGAATGTTTACTCTTAGAGACTTTGGAAAATTTTTTCCAGAGTCTCCTCCGTACACTAGACTAAAACCAACCTGCACACAGCCAAAAAATATACTATGCATGCCACACATGGCCAATATCTATAAATAGCAACACTTTGCCTCACACAGCCGTAAATCATAAATACTGAAAGTCAAGAAATAAGAGCTTACCTGATGACCTACTAGCCTGAATAGAGTTGTGCTGTAGCATCCCATCTCGAGCCATATCTTCAGTTTGAAATAGGTGGGGGTATTTAGACTTCATTTCTTCCTCCGCTTCCCACGTCATCTCTTCCACATTCTTGCTTCCCCATAAAACCTTCACAGATGCTACCTCCTTATTTCGTAGCTTGCAGATTTGTCGGTCTAGGATGGCAACTGGAATTTCCTCGTATGACAAGTCCTCTATAATTTGTACATCATCCGTGGGCACCACTCGGATAGGATCGCCAATGCACTTCCGTAGCATAGATACGTGAAAAATCAGATGGACTGACTCCAATTCTATCTCATAAGCTACTTGGATGACTCTCTGAATG